GTCATGGATAGCTTTAGCTAACATTCCCCAACATCAAAGTTATTAACCTTATCTTATTTAAATTGAATATTTGATAAATACCTAATCCCCCTTAAGTTATGTACATTACATTTATTTAGCTCTCCTATAGAAATTACATATAAAAGTTACACTTTAATATTATATCCTTGGATTTTGCAAGAATCAACAGAAAAATCAAGGTAGAGAACATATTTTGAGTTTGTATATATTAACAATTAAAAGTATTTCCATTATACTATTCATTATCTCTTAGGAAATGATGCATGAAAATGAAATCTTCTTAGTGTTTACAGTCTAGAAACATGTAGACTTCTTATGGTTAACTATATGCTTCCTTTTACAATTCTCAAATTATATAAATCATTCCATTTCCCTATTTTTCTGGAGAGCTAGGATACACCAGTTGGTAAAATTATCTTCTTCCCTCAAAACACAATACAGCATTTTATACAGCTTTTATTTTCATGGTCTGTTGCAAACAATCATTTAATGTAAGCAGTCTAAAATCCTTTTTGGAAGTAGACAATGTATAACAAACATGTAAATTAAACTCATTAATCCTATGGAAGAAATGGATTTCTCCACTTTATCTGAACACAGCACATATGAAAAGAAAAAGGAATAAAAGAGACATTTAAACTAACTGCCATATAAATTAATGGAATGCAATTACTGGCCCCTTTTTGATCTTGGATCAATATATAGCAACCATTGCTACAGATGATCAGTCAAATGTGGCTTTATGTAAAACATAACTGAACAATTTGAAATTTATGCAACAGAAAAATACTGCTCATATTCTTTGCTAACTAAAAGGGCAAGAAACAATGTTTCCCCCTTCCATATCATAATTAATCTTATACACAAAAGACAGTGTCTTTGCAAGCCTTGAAATAAAACAGAATTCACTTTAAAAAAAAAAATTCCCACATTAATAATGGAATCATTCAGCATCAGGAAATTTTCTCCCTGTTGTGAATATTTCGTCTTAAGTCATTTACATTTCCATAACCGGTTTATGCCACTTATCTTGCAGGACATTTTAGATTTATGAGGGCGGGAAAAAGTAGCAACACATAAATGAGATCTAGAAAAGCACACAATAGCTATAAAAACAACTCATCCATCATCTCTACATTTTGATTCCAGAGACAGCAGTGAAAGGTGTTTCTGCACCACTCACCCCGCACACTTACAAAGGTTTGCTTCATCATTTACACAACTGAAACTGATTGATTAGCTGCTAGAGAAAAATCAATACAAACATCCTAGAAAACACTAGCTTGTAAATTCATTCTGGCCCCAACAAAATCCTGGTCACTGCTTGACATATTTTTCTAGATATCTAAAATGCAACCATGTCAAACACCAGCCCCCACATACTGTTATTTTCAGGAATTTTTAAAACCTGAATCTCAGCAGAGGTAGGGAAGTGAGGGGCAAGGTATCTCAGCAGTCTGTTAGAACAATAAGTTGATACCCAGAAGTTACCTGATAAATCTTACACTAGAAGCAGCACTGTCCACAAACATGAAAAATATGTTGAGAAGGTAAAAGTAGTCAATGAAAATGTTGAGGGGACTGGTTTAAAGAGAAAAAAAGACAAGGAAGTTAGGAAAGCATTTAAAAATATATATATATATATATTTGTAAAAGGTAAAGTTTCTATTTAAAAATAGAAATAATTTTGACTTTGATGCTATCCATTCAGAAGTTAATGAGCTCCATTTCTCGTTTTTTTGGCAGGTATATGTATAGTCAGAATATTTTTAGTACTTTGGGAAACCATTTCACATTCAGAATGATTTTATGATTATTTCACAATCTCTTCTGAGTGCTTCCTTTCCTCTGGGTTAGCCCTTAGTCTCTTCATTCCTTTTGACTACCAAGAAATAAGTTTTTATGAATATGAAATGCTTCATAAATACGCTATTGGGAAAGAAATCCAGATCTTATTGTATATTCTGCCATATGACAGGCAACCTGGGTTCTAATCCCCATTCTGCAACTGGCTTAACAGTTTTTCAAAATTACTTTGTGTTTCTGACACACAGTAGCCATTAAAAAATTAAGAAAAGGAAAGAATGGAAATGCCATTTTAAGAATGGGAAATTTAACTTCCACTGATAAAATGGCTTTAAACGTGGTACTAAAATTTGTTGGCAGCATATTTAGACTATTCTATTACAGTAACTTTTCATAGAACCATAGAGTCTGTTATTCATTATGGGACAACCTAATCATGGTATAATGCAGATTTTAAGAGTTTCTGGTCCAAAGAAGGAGTCCTGGTGGCGAGGTGGTTAAGAGATCGGCTGCTAATCAAAAGATCTGCTGTTTGAATCCATCAGCTGCTCCTTGGAAACCCTATGGGGCAGTTCTGCTCTGTCCTATAGGATTGCTATGAGTCGGAATCGACTCTACAACAGTGGGTTTTAGTTTAAATAACATGTCTTCTTCATAATATTGTCAAAACCAATTACTTCATATATGTTATCTCTAATTCTTGCAACAAACAACATTAAATATGTTATAGTGACAGGAAAACCATGGCTTGGAAAGGTCAGGTACCTTTGCTGAGGTCATGTGGCTGGTAAGCAATACAGCAGTATTTCAAATCCAAACTCTGCCTATAGCAAAGAGCACCAAACACTTGACAACACAAAGTTTTCTAAACACACTGGCTGCCCTAGCAAGTTGTGACCTCAATCTTTTAGAAACAATACCACATATCAACCAAATGTGTTCAGACAGAATGCTCTTCAGAAACAAGGATGGTGACGCTTGCTTTGGACGTGTCATTAGGAAAGACCAATCGCTAGAAAAGGACATCATGTTTTGTAAAGCAGAGGGTCAGCAAAAATGAGGGAAACTCTCCACGAGACAGAGCTCACTAGTCCAGAAACTAGCATTTAGTTTTGACTCTAATATACAGATAATAAAATAGAAAAACCTTACATTGTAAACATTTCATGACTGAGAATAAAGATACATATATCTCTACTGACGATGACAGAAATACCAAATAAACCTAACCTGCCTCTATAAATAAAATAGCCACCAAATCCCTGCTAACCTCTGATTACACACCTTAACTGGCCCAACCCACTTGGATACAACAATGCTATTGTTTTTAGTTGCTGTCAAATCGGCTCTGACTCATGGCAACTTTACTTTTAACAGGATGAAACCTTGCCTGGTCCTGCACTATCCTCATAATTGTTAGTATGTTTGAGCCCACTGTTGCACGTATTGTGTCAATCCACCTCATGAAGAATTTTCCTTGTTTTCGCTGACCCCCTACGTTACCAAACATGATGTCCTTTTCCAGCGATGGGTCTTTCCTGATGATGTGTCCTAAGTAAGCAAGAGGAAGTCTCACCATTCTTGCTTTGGAGCCTTCTGGATGTACTGGGTGTACTTCCTCCAAGACTTACATGACAATGTTAACTAATAACCAAAGTCCACAGGAGCAACACATTGCACCTTTGTTGCTCCAGGGAGTGTTTCTAAAGATAAACTGGAGAGCTAAGTAGGACACTTCAGAAAAATTTTGGAATCAGTTTATAAAGACTACTGTATTTTTATGCAAGTAACGCACAAGTTATACTTTTTTTTGCCAACTAAGCAACACACCCTGCCTCCGCATTACTTTCATAAGCACACTATGCTTATATGTGTTGGTGTGCCATTTTCAAAAAAAATGTGGTATGTTTGCTCCTGTCTTTTTTTCTCAAGGCACATATAATACAGAAATGGCCCATACAAAGTCATGAAGGAATCATATCAAATTGTCAGCATAAGTTACAGATGAGGATAGATACGAAGGAATAAGAGAGATACTTTAACTTCCTACATGGTGATTTTACATTCGCATACTGTTCAAATAAATTTTCAAAATAAAATGAAATAGATTTTTTTTAAGTTATATGTAGCTGTTGTTAGAAATGTATAATGTTGAAAAGCACTTGAAAGGAACTATTCATTGCCTTTTAATTTGCAGTGTTTTGGTAAATAGGTCAGATAGGTTTAATATCCCCATTACCAGACATAACAGGAGAAAAAAGTACCAATTTTGCCAGCAATGACAATATTTTTCAAATAGATTAGGTTTCTATCCAATATTTTTGCTTCTGAAAAATCCTTAGCATAGTCATGTTGTAGAAAAAAGAAAACCACACAGGTTTTTCTCAGATTAGGCAATAATCTGGTTCTAAAACAAAATACTGGCAAGAGTCAATGCTCTTCCTTTCATTTCTCTTTCAATACTCGTTGAACGTGAATGGAGGAAGGGACTGAACTAAGAATCAAAAATCAAAAAACAAAAAAAAAAAGTTGGAAGGTGTCAATAAACAAATCAAGGGTATGTTTCTCTCCATTAAAAGGAACATCTCAAATTCCTGTTGATCAAACTCTTAGATCTACTAAATAAAGAAATGAATTTGGAACTCATGCTTCCAGAGGCTCAGGGTGTGGAGTAGTCAAAGAAGCACTCCAGGTTACTTGCTAAAAGGAAAAGTACAATGCCAATAACTATTAACCTACAAGATTATATGACACAATAGATTATCTCACATTGGGTATAAAAACACACCAAGGTTACATACATGTATTATAAACAAAGACAAAAGTGGAAGTTTATGGTTTAAGCAGTTATGTGACAATGCAAGTGTGACTCATGTTAAAGATGTCTTACTATATGCTGAGAGACAATCACATTTCCCAGCAAGTGACTGATTCAGAAGTAGATGAATACCCAACACAATTATTCTAATTAGCCCTCTCCACCAGTACTACTCTTGATGGAGTGGTACGAGGACCTGATCGATTAAATCTAGTAACGTTTTCCATTAGTTAATATGAAATATTTGCAAACTCTTCAGAAAGCTAAAGAAGCACGTGTCTAAAGTGGGGTGTTATTAGAAGACTAGTATAATTTATTCAGAAGACTAATTTGCACATAATTCTAGAACTCTTACCTTGAAAAGACTGTTTGGCTCTATCTACTAGTTCATCAGTTGGATAACTGGCCAAATTTCCTCTGGCGTGTTTAGTTTTGCAGTAGGTGCAAGCATTGAGACACCTGTTCAAATGATAGCAATAAGTAAGTCTCAAACATTTAAAGATAGTCTACACTTAACATAGGGAAAAAAAAAAACCCCAAATCATACTCTGAAATGCTATTTTAGCAACATTTCCTAGTTTATATAACATATATAAAACCATAAATATTTATCATGTCGCATATTTTCTCTGTTTCCACCAGGCACAGAAATCTGCAAATTTTTTAGGTTTCAACTATTCAAGAATGGTTGTACAAATTGCATCATATTATCTTAAAATGCAAACAGCTATGAGGAACAGAATTTATAAATGATCAACTAATTAAAAGAAATTCAAGGTCCACTTTTTTTGTTTTTGAAAATCACTGATATTTGCTTGGCCTTCATACAAGTAGAAAAATTTAATACTGCTTATATTGTATTATTCAGAAATGATGACACATACATAACTTTTAACTAGGCAACAGAGCATTCTCATCAGAATACACATCCTTAGAAATTTTCAGATAATATTTTTCACTTCTTGTAATCAGAAAGTTAAAAAAAAACTATTGAAACATCCATTGAATACTCTCTGGGATCACATTAGTCAAAATTAAGAAACAGAATGAAAACACTAGCTTTACACGTTTTTTTTTTTTAAACAGACTTATTTCCCAATAGTTTTTAGATGTGATAAAGAACTGCCTTTTAAAAACTAAAATGTTGGTTCTACTTATGTAGTTTTAAAATATAATTTAAATAGCTTCTCTTATTATAAAATAAAACAGTCACAACATAATAAAATAGTCCTATGACAAAAAGATAAGGCTCAACAACCTTAAACAAAACAAAATAACATCTCTTCAGGGATTCAATTGCTATAAAGAGTAGCAAAGTTTTAAAAGACCATCATTATACAAATGCTTTCAGATTTCATTTCAGTTGGCACACCAAGAAAAACAGAACTTTTAATAATTGAACCTGACCAATATTTATTTTATTATTGACACAGTGGCTGCAACAATGGCCTCAAACATAGCAACAATTCTGAGGATAGCACAGGACCAGACAGTGTTTCATTCTGTTGTACATAGTGTCGCTATGAGTCAGAACTGACTCGACAGCACCTAACAACAAACAACTTTAAAACACATATGAATCACTATACTCAGCAGTTAAATATGCAATGCTTTTTGTCTGATAATCTTTGGGACCTGTAACTAAAGTAACACAAAACAAAAAACCAAACTCACTGCCATCTAGTCGATTCCAACTCATAGCCATCCTATAGGAAAGAGCAGAAATGCCCTACAAGGTTTCAGAGCAGCTGGTGGATTCGAACTGCAGACCTTTTAGTTAGCAGCCATAGCTCTCAACTACTATGCCACCAGGGCTCCAAGCTGACACATACATTCTGAAAACATATTTTACCATACATCCAACCAACATTAACATAAAGAGCTAACACTCCTTTTCTCCCTCGTTAGCCATCTACATATTTTAAAAAATACATATATATACAACACAATTTTTGGCCTTTCTTATGAAGACAGGTCCTAGTTTATTATATGTCTTCTCTTTTCAACTTCTGACCTTTCCGTAATAAGGAGAAGGAGAATACTGTTCTGTTGTCTTCTCCTTGGGAGGGTAACTCACTTTTGTTTAGCCATGAGTACCAGACAGTTACAGGTGTTTTACATACATTATCTCATCTAACCTTTCACGAGCTGGGTATTAATATCTCCATTTTACAGATGAAGAAATTACCTCAAAGAAAGCATATAAGTAGCTTTCTCAAGACCATGTAACAGCTGAGATTCAAATCCAGGCCTCTAGATTTCAAAGTAGAGTATATACTGTTTCCTCCACAGAAGATATGTGTGTCAAACATCATGTTGTTACTGCTGCTGTTGTTAGCTGCCAACAGGTTGACCCCCAACACATGGTGACCCCATGAACAACGGAACTGGACTGTTGTGATCCACAGGATTTTCACTGGCTGACTTTCAAAAGTAGATTGCCAGGCCTTTCTTTCTAGTCCATCTTAGTCTGGAAGTTCCACTGAAGCTTGTTCAGCATCACAGCAACATGCAAGCCTCCACTGACAGATTGGCGGTGGCTGTGCATGAGGTGCATTGGCTTGGAATCAAACTTGGGTCTCCAGCATGGAAGGCAAGAATTCTTCACTGGACTACCATTGCGCTAGTCAAATACCCTAGCTACAGTCAAATACAAAAAAGATAGACAATCATCTGACATGAGGTATAAGGTAATATACCACATATATTCATAGATATGGCCAGCACTTATCCTCCTGTGTACGTTCCTCCTAGCTCTTGAAGCTACTTGTTTAAAACATGTGTTTCTCTTTTATTCTTTAGAAATCTAAAACCAGGCTTCTTTTCCATCCACTAGGCCCAAACCAGTCAGTTTCATCCTTGTTGTTTACAAGTTGTTTTTCCTCCTCTTGTTGGCTCTGTGGGAAAACATGTCACCTCATCTGACCTGCTGTGTCTTTTAAAATTCTACAACTCAGGTTCTCAAAGGAGTTTTCTGGGTACCCAGAAAGATCAGTGCTCTCTCTGCCCATCTCCTCAAGTGGCTCCTCAGTGCAGCAAGCCCCACCATTCACCTGGGATTTCCCCTTATGACTGGCATCATCAGGTTAAATCCGTCGCCTTCTGAGGATCTGCTATCTCTACCTCCTGACACTCATCAGGTCTCCTGACTCCTCTTATTGCTCTTATTTCTCCAATTACCAGTGAAGAGCTCCATGAATTAAGCTGATAATGTTTTAAAAAAATTACTAATATTTCTAACTTGGGCTCTATCTTAAAAGTGTCTTAAGACACCCCTTAACAGGGGGAAAGAGAAAGGAAGAAAAACATCCATTTTAAACATTTGTAAGATAAACTGATCAACCCATGTAAAGCACTTAGAATTGTGCCTGTACAATTGGCCGTTAGTTGTATAATGTGATTGTCTTTAAACAATTGTGTGAGGATATAACTATGTATTATCATGTTCCAGGTGTACCTAAATTTATGGAGCAGACGTGCTGCTGATAGGTTGGTTTAAAAGCCAACTGTGGAAACCAAATCATATTTTTCTACTGGCTCACTTAATACAGGTGGAAATCTATCTCCCCCAGAAAATCACTCATGAAAATGTACTAAAAAGTTTAAATAAAACAAGGAGATATTCAGAAACTTTCATAATAATAAAAATAAGCCAGTAAGTATAACTATTACATTAAGACTTCAAAATAGTCTTTACTAAACTGCTCACCTCGAGTTAATTAGGGCTGTTGGTGAGAGATAGAGATATATATTGATATATATCTATATACACATATATATTTAAGGTCTAAACTGTTTATTGTATAAAATGGGTTTATCCTAAACCACAGCTATCAAAATAGTACTTTTAATTTTGATAAAGTGAAAATTTTTATGGAGTGTATTTCTTTACGCATGCTCTAACACTACCAACTCAAGAATTAAATCCACTATGCCTTACTCTTAAAAGGAAGACAGATTAATTATAATACAGAGGGAAAAAAATGCAATGCAAAATCATAAAAGAATGGGCTCTTTGATGGAATCTGGTTTAAAAACAATTTTTTAGTCTGCCAGGAATTATGTTGACCAGTCATTTAGACAGGACAAGCCTCCCACAAAGTAAAGAAATTCATAATAGGAACCCCTTTAGTCGATAGTTTCAGTTAGCAGTAAACAATCAAATAATTGTCTAAGAGTAAGAACACCGAGCCAGTTTCTTCAACTGTCAGAAAACAAAAGATCTTTGAAGGTTGACTTCTGAAAGCCAAAACCAAAAAGAGATGGCTGTTGAACGGCAAGCAAGAAGCAAAACCTGAATAGACCTAGACTGTTGTGACGGAAGAATAAAACTAGCACACCACACCTACTAATCTTTGCACAAGTTGTTATATGGCCACAGACCAAGAAATAACTAAAAACCTCAAAGGCAGAGAAAGATTAAGCATTTAACTTAGCAGTAAAACTCTGAGGTTTTAAAAGGCATCAGTCGTAGAATATGTTTAACTTACTCAAAACAAACAAATGATGTAACAATGGATTTTCACAAGTTAAAATATTTCAAAGGGTTTAAATGTATTAACAACTTACCAGTTTAATACCTGAATCACATAAAGCAAATAAAAACTGAAAGTTTAAAAATATTTACTCTTAACTTTTAAATGGCAACTTTATAGTATCATATGTTTTGGAATAATTAAAATATCAGAGTTATACTTTTAAAACTTCACCCATACTGTTGTGTTTTTTTGGGGGGAGAGAAAAAAAGCCTAATGTGACTCAGGCTTCTCTTCTCTCTCTGTCCCAGGTCAAAGATAAATTAGAATATACAAAACCTATTTTGGACTCCAGCAATGACACTTCAAAATAGCACATTCTATTCCAGTCAGAATGATTCAATCTTTAAGCAACTGACAGAAAAATAAACTTTCTCAAAGATTCAAATGTTACAACATAATAAGCCCTTAATAAGAGCTGAACCCTGGAAAAAACATTCTTTGGTGTAGCCACATTCTTCATATTGAAGCATCATTAAGCATAGAAAAAAGAAAGCCTAACAAACAAAAAGTTCACACACTTTATTTAGGCTGTGCCAGACTTGATTGTTACATATAGTCTATTGTGAGCCCTCATCTTGGTATTAAAAGTATTTCCAGAAAAATTACCAACTTTTTGATCTTTCAAACAAGAATAACCCATTGCCGTTGAGTCGATTCCAACGAGGACAGAGCAGAACTGCCCTGTAGGGTCTGCAAGGAGCAGCTGGTGGATTCAAACTGCAGATCTTTTGGTTAGCAACTGAGCTCTTAACCACTGTGCCACCCGGGCTCCTCAAACAAGTAGAGGAGATACTTATATCAGCAAAATCTATTAGATCTTCAATGGGTAATACTTTTTTGCCAAAATCAAAATCGTGAAAAAGCAAAGAAAAAGGACACACTTGCAAAACTAGCAGAATGCAGTTCCAAAATCTTAATTCT